TTAGGGGCGGGGAAATGAGTGTTAGTTATTCATATACGTAACGCCATCACAATAGTGTAAGTTGAGCCCATTCAAAAGAACGTTCAAACAAGAGTAGCGAAACATTATTTATATACAAACCATTACAATCATTTTACAATAACACCACAAGAACATACAGTAATAAGGGAAAAAGCCAAAAACTAGTAAAATGACCACAGATAGAAACTTATAAAAACGGACTGTTCAAAACTAAAACTATAACCAAATGTCGAGTTAACTACTTTATGCCTTACAAAAGCTGAGGTGGTCGGGGCAGTGTCTCAAGATAATTAAGCGAGCAATGCTGGTTTGAATAAATGTTACGCAAGATCCAATCATGCTGAGAAAGTTAATTCGGAGATTTTAGAAAAGCTTGGTATGAGATGTTGGCATTCTAAATTATCATACTATGGGAAGACCTCCAAGGTAAAATTTATTTCAAAGCGAACTCGGTACAATATGGGAATCAAGAAATAAACTACACGAAGAAGATAAAAGACCATTCAGCGAAGATAATTTTCTTTTTGACGAAGTCATCAACTAGGCTGAACACAAAAATTATAAAACATTAATATAAGAAAAGCAGAAATAGAATAAATGACAGATAGTTTTGTGATCTATGCTTCGTTAGGTGGTTTGGTATTAATCGACTATGGATCTCTATAGATAAGAATGTTGAATAATGCTACCGTTGGCTAATTTATCTGTTTTGCAAAGTGTTCTATCAATGTTCTAGGCGTCTTTCCAAGCTGGTAATTAGCATATAATTTGCCTCACAAACCGTCCTTCTGATATCATACTACTCATCGGAAGCGACTAAGGTCAGCTAGAACAGATCTGATTATTGTCAGGTGCAAATAAAGAGTTCATCTCACATGCACATTCTGACGATTAGGTTTTGCCGTCCTTACGCGAACAATTCTTGACTTTATGTATATGAACCTTACTCAGGTCATTATGCTGGATATCCGCCATAATGCACAGGTAACCGTCAAGAGGTTGTAGGAAACTTTCAGGGTAATCAGTGGTTTTTTAGCGGAATGTTCTATTATGCAGCCAATGCTTTACCCGACATTCTCATGGCGTCCTTAAAATGCAGCCAGTGTATGTCTAAACTACCGGGCGGGGTGGGGGGCGATGGATGTTCAGCAAGTTTGTGCTGGCTAGAAATAAGTTGTGATCTGCGCAAGTCTACAGGAGATGGTCTCCAATATCTGACTGGCGACCATTTAAACGGCTCCCCATCTGAGCTTAGACCACTGAACTGTGCATTCGAGTTTCAAGCTATCACAATGATATTTGCCAAAGGTGGGTGCTTGAGAACCTAACTCTGACTGACTGGCTTCAAAATAGAACTTTGCACCGATATGCAGCAGTTCGAGTCGCCACACTTCACTCAGCACACGAAGCCAGACAAGAAGAAGAAGAAAGTAAAAAGAAATACAAAAGAGACAGTAACAGAGATATAAGGCAAAAAGAATAGTAATATCGAAGAACAATATAGTTTTATTGGGTATTATAAGTCACAAGGAGTGGATACATCTGCGCCATTGAGAACGATTTTGAGCCATATCACCGATTGTCTCCAGCTCTCATTGGTTTTTACCGTCCCGAGGACCCCAACCAGTCAGGAAGTCTACAACTCTCTATGTGGCAGGCTCAAACTAACTGTTGTGGATATCATTGACTGATGAGGCTATGTTTTGGTTTGACCACCACGCCACTAGCTCTTTTCCAGCCTGACCCTATCTCAGCTAACATTGCCCGTCGAGGAAGGTGATGACTAGCCATACGTAACACATGTCCTAACCATTTCAGCCGATGTGGCTTCGCCGCCTCATTTATTGATTTCCCCCCTCCTTACCTGGTACTCGACCGATGCCTAACCTCAATATTACTTACCCTACTAAACCACTTCACACCGGAGATAGAACGCAGGCACTTTTGATCAAGGACAGCTAGACTTTCCATATCTTCTTCTTTCAATGGTCAGGTCTCATAGCCATAAAGGAGGACTGCTGAGCTGTACACACGTCCTTTGGTCGATAACCGGATATCACGTCTACACCAGAGACGGCGTAGGCTGGCATATTAAAAACGAGCCTTCTGTATCCGTGTTGAGATTTTGTCAGCGATCAACCCGTTGGGGCTGACACAACTCTCCAAATAATTAAAGTGGTCAACACGCTCTATCACTTCACCCCCTATTTCTGAGCTAGGAGTCAATGTAGTCCAGTCCTGTAGCATCATCTTACATTTGGAGGGAGCGAATCGCATGCTAAACATTCGCAGATTGCAACTCAAGGTGTTCAGAAGACTCTGCATCTTGTCAGTATCCTTACCAAGTAGGCAGGACTATATCATCTGCATATTCTAAGTCAACGAGACTATTATTCCCCAGTAACAAGTCAATCCCTGAGTCTCTGAAGTGAGTTAGGGTTAATTTCATTAGTACATCTATGATGAAATTGAATAGAAATGGGGATAGTGGGCTGGCATCCCTGACACCATGTGGTGAGACCTGGCTGCTAGCCAAAGTTGGTAGACAGTAATTGAAGTCAATGTTTATGTCCCCAATATTGGTGGTGAGAAAATGAGAACAAAGGCTTTGCGTAGGCGGATACAGTTAGCATATGAATGATCTGATACAGCCACAAAGAGATGCAAGGTTAACTTTCTGTGAGAAACAACCAATCAAGGGACTATATTTTCTACTAGCAATAATCTACAATAATGTGCATTAAAACCTATAAATATGTGTTGAGTTTCCTTAATAAAGGATCTGTTGCCTGGCTCTTGTCTTCTGTTGTTACAACCACTAGTTGTCACCACTTCACATGACAACTCGCCGTAAGTTCTCGCCTGGCTAAATGAGTTCGATTTGAATGAGTGCCTTGATCAGTGCAATGCATTTCCTCGACATTCCCTTTACAGTCAAGCATCGCCATAGTACCTCTCGGTCGACAGAATCGAATGCCACCTTTAGGTCAAGAAATATAACGATTGTTGGACGCTAACCTAACTCAGTTGGTTGTAGAAGTCAGCCTTAATTGCATCCGGGCTTAAATCGGTCGGTGAGTAGTCAAACATGACGAATAGATAACACTTCTCTGGCTCCTCGGCTAGTTATCGTAGACTTGCTGGTTTAGGGATTGTGTTGAACTCGAGAGCGGAAAACTCACTACTCGATTAGATCCTGATGACCAGTTGTATATATGCTGTCCGCCTGAATGGATCTATAGAAGTGATCATGACATTCCTCGAACCTTTTCATAATCTTTGCTTGCACGCCTACTGATTGCAGTTAAGACCAAGTAATGCATGAGTTTTTTTTGTATAGTTTGTCGCCAAAAGCAAACCACTTAGATATTTTTATTTTAGAGAGTGATGTTTGTTCTTGAGTATTAACGATGAGGTAGTCCGAAGGGTATATTGAGAATATCTATGTTGTCATATTACAGTGAGCCAAAAACAGCGATTGTCTTCTACAATTCTTTTACACTAATAATTTTGAACATAAACAGATACACCGCCTCATCTGGCAATAGCCAACAATGGACGCAATATGTTATCGATGGAACATTTCTGTGGACTTCGATCATGCACATGTATGCCTGCGACTGAACTAACGAGGACAACTAGCGACTGTGAAGTTCTTAAATATCCAGCTACTTGGTAGCAACGTAATGTTTGTTTGTGAAGACAGCATCCAGAAAGTATATTACACTACTTTAACCCATATCATATAAGAGCTTATTGAGTCTCCGTCTGAAGTGCTAACAACCAATTGTGTTCGTCGAGGATTCCCACTGTCACCACTTTCATTTGGTTTCACCAAAACTGTGGTTCTGATCAACTGCGATGTTTCAGGAATCGGTTTGATACCAGGGTAGTTTCGTTGGTTTAGTGTAGGCAGATGTTGACAAGAATACAGCCTCCCGAACCCTGAGCAAAAATCGGAGTATTTCTGGCGTGCTCCTTGCACCTGTGAAAGATGGTGTTACAGGACTGATCTGTATGGACTTGTAGCTTAATCGGTTTAATGTCTGTATCGCACTACTTACTTGAAAAGCTATATCAATTTTGATAGACTGGCTATTAGCATAAACTGAGCATGAATTGAAGACGTCCGATGGGTATTTATCAATTCACGTCACTTTTGGAACAGGTAAGGTAATCTACCACTCATTAAAGGGTGTGAGTATTGAGCAGCAGCAATATCGACGTTAGACATAAAGTAACAGGCAAGGAGGAGAAGTCAATCGATGAGGTTGTGAAGCCGAACTGATTAAGACGGTTATAACATGTGTTGTTCATGTCGAACAACCGTCCTCCTTGAAGATCGACGTTAACTGGAATATGATTAAGTTGTAAAAGAATTAGGAGTGGTCAGACAGAGATAAAACACTAATCCATGATGTATTCAACTGTTGGTCCGGTTCATGTACGGGAGTGTGAACTACCTTCCTAGGATCCTCTGGAAGTCAAAGGTTGATGATTTGACTGGCTATTATTCACAATGGTGCAGAAAGTTTTACGACTAATTCACTAAGAAATGAATAAGGAATAGTAGTACTTAAAACAAAGCTGCTAATTTACATTTGTCAAAGTTTCTCTGCATACTAAACGGAACTCGATCGCATATTTCTGTGCGTCGGTGGCACAGTGGTTAGGACTCTCGCCGACCATGCACATGGTCCAGGGTTCGATCCCCTGCCAGCGCACACCCGATATCTATGGTCGGCCTGCAAAATTGGGCTACCGATATCACATGCTGAAAATTCCATACTTGTACCAAAATAGGGTGTGGAATCAAGCTATAATAAATAATAATGATGGAATTAGGATTGGTTTAGTACTAGTTAGCTTAAGTCGTCGCGTCTTGCAGTCAGCTGCAAAGCAAAACCAGAATTGCAGTGAAAATATGTCAAAGAATGCATTTGCAAAACTCAACAAGTAAATTAGATCACAAGTGCATTTTATGTACAAACAGAAAGTTCTTTGAACATTAGGGAACAAGAACTACACAATGACTCATCATTATCAGTTTTCAAAACGGTTTCTTTAGTATGTCCATTGGCACTTGATAGTGAAGCAGAATGTTTTATAGACTCTGTAGCCAATCTGTCAGGGTCATCGTAAGATGATGTTTTGTATACTGGATACTAAAACGGAAGAAAAACACAGAAGGAAGAATATTGTGTATATATCACAGATGAATTTATTACAAGTTGTGCTCATTTTACTAGTCTTGACAGAATTTAAAAGGAGCTAATAAATACCATGGGTCACACAATAAAAACTGTATTTTTCAAGGACAATTTAATTATTCAGTCTAAATCGCTTAGCTTTTGCAAAGAAGACAAGATAAACACGATCCACAAAATAAATTGAATGAATTGTGATAATTACTAGTCACAAAGTCAAAGTGGATGTCCCCCTCGACTTGGAGTCAAAAGACAAAACGTATCATTTCATATGAGTGTATTTAGACAAATGTGGACACTAGTTTGGCTGGGAAAATGTAGACTGGAAATATCGAAAATACCAGGAAACTCCTAGAAGCCTGGTGCTCAGACGGATCAGAGATCAGCAGACACATCACAGTAGGCCAAATTTATCAACTAATAGGGAATAAGGCACAAGAAATTTAATTTTCCAGTCAATAAAAAGGACCGGCACTGAAGCAAATTAACGACTAATCACTACCCATTTATTATTATTATTATTCCCTTGGGTTCCAAATGGAACATAGGGATACGGCAGCACATCCCGATTTCACCCTGTCCTCTATAGTTCCTTTCAGTTGGCTTACACGACTGGCAGCAAGCACTTATTTCCTCTTCACACGTCCTCCACGTCACCCTCACGGCCATGGTCAACTCACCGTTTTCCATCCAGGTTCCACTTGAGGGCCTGTCACTTGATATTACTTTAAAGTCTACTCAGCGTATATGCAATCTATCTGTTTTCTTCTGTGTATTTTTTGGACGATAGGCTTCTAGTTAGTTCGTTGCCAGAGTGACTTGTTGGCAATCTGATGTTCTGTATCGAGCCAACGAAGGCATCCGTTGATGGAAGCCTGATGAACCATACACAAATACTGACTCGAAATTAACGTTGAAGATCCGGAACTTGTTTCTTATGCTGAATGCAGCAGATTATCACACTGATTTCGGAGTAATGAAGGTCCGTCTTCCTTTTCCGATCCTGCCCATGACAGCCCTATATGTACCCGTAGTTAAAACGATACTGTCCTAATATGTTAAAGAGGTGTTCTTAGATTCTCGTTGAATAATTAATACGTGTTGGTATTGGTTAGGTATTTTCATTATGAAGTCCTGCCTTCACCGTCTCTTCTGCCAACCCGTTTGTTCTCGCCTGTAGATTTTCGAGTTTGCGTGACATTAGACACAAATCATCCGCGAATTCTATATCACCTAGAGTTTTCTTGTCGGTCCAAGGTATATCGTATATGTCTTCTGATTTCCCACGGTCTATCACATGATCCATTCCACCACAAGCAAGGATACCATCGGTGTTGGTAGACAACCTTGTCTTACTCTTGTCTTCACTGAGTTTTCGTTGTAGATCGCTCGGCATGTGGGATCATCATATAGGTTGATTAGGGTTTGGGAGACTCCATTGTATTGAAGCATTTTCCGAATAACTTCATGGTCAACGCAGTCGAAGATCTTTTTCAAATTCAATGAAGTTGAGGTAAAGATTTGACTACCATTCTATGCTCTGTTCGATTATGATGTGTTGCGTTGTAATTTGGTCTGCACATGATTTACTTTTCCTGTACCAAGCTAGTTCGGGAGGTAGTTTTGCATCCGGTATGACGCGACTCAATATTTTGCTTGAGAAGCATGATTCCGCGCTAGTTTTTTCAAAGGCTTAGGTCGTTCTTTTTAGGGAGGTTGATAAGATAATTCTTCTTTCAATCAGTAGGTACCTTTGCTTTCCTCCAAACTTTCTGCAATAGTGGCGTGAGCATATTTACTGAGGTCTCTGGGTCCATTTTCAGTTCTTCAGGAGGAATTTCGTCTGATCTCACTGCTTTTCCATTTTTCTGTAACTTTACGATATTCAACACTTCCACTTTTATCGGACTGGTGTCCACCGGTAGTTCTGAGGCTGTTGGTTTCTGGACTAGTTGCAGATGGTGGTTGATTTAAGAGTCCTTTAAAGTCATCAGCCCATCATTGCCTTTGTTGCTTCTCTTTGATAATTAGATTTCTTTCACTAACTCCCATTGGTTTCTTCTGTATTGATCTATTCCCTGATAGCGACCTGGTTATCAGATACACCGTTGTCCATAGAGACAATAACAGCTTGACAATGAAATCATCCAGTTCAGAGAACACAAGCACATCAAAATAATCCATCTGAAATAAAAGTCTTCTCTATTATTTCAATCTCCGCCACTTAGAACACAACATAATTAAGATTCTCTATAGTTTCACGATGGTGCCTATGACACAAATAAGTGTAACACACTGTTACAAAGTTAGAAAATAAAGATAAAACTTTGCAATGAAGTGGTTTAAGACCTTTTACAATTTAATGAATATATTTACTGCTTATCGTCTTCGGTATTTCGAATATTTTGACTGATCTGATTTTTTCATTCTGTTACACAATTACGTTTGTCAATTGAAATATCATCGTACTCTCGCACTATTCACTTTTGTTTTATGCTGATTTAGCAGTCAACAATAACGAAATGAAGGTGAAAACAGGTACGATGGAGGATTGAATGTAATAAACAGTCAGTATTTCAGAAAAACAGTGAGTGATACCTGCCTTTAAATGAACTTATCAAATTTATTTTTGAAAGGGAGGTACGACGGGGCAAGGAAAATTATGACTGTAGTAGTAGACATAGTTATTATGACTAAACAACATGGATATGCGGAAATCATAAAAAGGTTCAAACAAACAATTTAAGGAAACAAACGTTGGCGCTAAGGTGGTGGTATTAAACTCGATTTCCACTTTCATATTTCTCACAAGCATTGTTTTTAGTAAAAAGAAAGACTAATAACACAGTTCAGTCCATATATAAAAACAAGGGAATTACAGCTTTAGTATATAAAAATTATACTTACGTGACAAAAGGTACATGCAGTCTCAGCATCATCGGTAAGGACAATCTTTGAAGATGTTCTGTGAATTAAGAGTATATAAAAAAATCATGATAGTTGGAAATAAATGTGGTAAGTTTATACAAACTAGTGAACGAACGGTTGGCACAAGAATTGCATAAAAACACCTTCATACACGTTAGTTCAATAATATCGGAGACTTGCAAACATTCTAATTTTTTCTCTCTAAAGTACAAAAAAAATAATAAATGTGTCCACAATGACGACGAATAAACCATCTACACCAACGTTCATCTTTGTTACTTCCTGCATTTTTTATCTATCGACTAACAAAAATGCATTACCCTTATTTTATTGCCCTACAACTCACGATAACGATTCGACTTCATTGAAAATCGAATTTAGTCATATAAAATAGGGTAAACAGCTACAAGTTCCAAATCATACAGTGCACAATTGAAACTGGATGGTAACAAATGTCAGAGTGGAGTTTGGACACTGTGTTAGGATAAAACTGCATATTGGATAAGTTTATTTGAAGTAGCATTCCAAACACAATTTATGAGTTATAATCATATCATATGGAAACCCTGAAAACCAAGCTCGCTGAACAGCTTGCCACAGATGAATCCATTAAATATTCAGTCTTCGCTAGGTTCTGGAGGACACCTGCACCAACAGTAGTGTAGTCTGAGCTGTCCCTTGACACCAAGGCGTCACTTGACTCGTTTATTGAAAAGGTTTGGCTGTTACATCTTAATGAAGACCATAGTCGACCATTAGTGGTCGTGGAAGAGTCGGTAATGATTTATTCCGTAGGCTATGTCCTATTGAGCGATGTTTGTCACAGATAGTCGTTTTTTCGCCTTTCTTCAGATTTACAGAGTAACTAGTAGAAATAATCCTCGCTAAATTATGTAAGCCTAATTCATATATATATATATATGTATATGTATATAGGTCTAAACACGTGTACGACAATCACTGAAACAAAACTCGATTTCCAGTAAAGTAATGATAAGTGGAAAACGACAGAAGTGACCCTGGCCATTTAAATCCTTCTAGAAACCTATTTTATCAATTTTATTTCCGCCATTATCTTTTCTTTGGAACATTCTAAAAGTGTTGATTATTGATGAACCCTTTTGAGAATCTCCAGCAGAGACCATAATTCACACTAGGAACTATAATCCTGAGGAGAAAAAACAACGAAAAATACTACTGAATAGCGACTCAATTCCGGTACATGCTCAAAGGTATTGATAGTCGACTATGAATAAAGTAAATTCACCGAATTCGGTATAAAGAAACAAGGCTTTAGACGAAATTTGGTAGACAGAAGTAAAAAAAAAACAAGCAGCTGATTAGGTTAACTCACTTTAAGATAGTTCCAGTAGTCGATGGAAACCCCCCAGCTTGAAGTGAAGCTAGAAAATCCTGTGTTAATCTCTCCAGCGTATTTACACTCGGATTTTGAAGCATAATCGATGTTAACGGATCATTGGGTGTCATTGGCTTCACGCACATAAAGTGTGCAAATAGAGCTAATTCCTTGGCAAGAAAATCGCGTAGTGGTCTGACAATTGTTACATCCTTGAAACGCTCATCTAAAAATGACTACAATAGAAAAACAACTTTCTACGCTTGACATTTAAATTTATTAATAAGATGTGAAAAAATCCTCTCACGATAATCAAATATGAATTGAAATTCTCAGAATCACAATTCGCCGACTACCAAACTGAGTCCAGAAAAGTTAACGAAAGGCAATCAGAAACATCTTTATCAGGATTTCAAAAGGTTTCTCAGATATATATCACAATGGCCGATAAAAATCGATGAGATATACAAAAGCTACACAGCTTCCTTGCTTTATATATATATATTCACTACGTTTAAACGAGAAAAAAAAACACCATTATACATATGGCTAGTGACCGCCTCTCTGTTCTGCATGAATCGGTGTACACTGTCTCGGGGCAATCACTCTGGTTTCTGTTGTTGATTACCAAAAATAAGGTTGAAACCTCCACGTAATTTGATCAAAGCAACAGACTAGTATCGGACACCCAATTATTCAGGAACCTGTACACAATTTTGTTCATACTATATCATTTGCCGACTATTTTATTTTCATAACACCTCAGATTTCTGAGATAACGAAGGTGAGGGTGGAACACAAGATTTAAGATGGCTCCAGATCAGTCACAGTAAAACCCTGATAAGACTGTGATTTACTGGGTGAACAACTTTGTATAGTAAGATTTACAAACCTCCATGTTAACAAATTTTTGATGGACTTGCTTTCGTTATCCCTGCTCTGGTTAGAATTAGAATACATTACCATTATTCCCAGCAATAATTTGGTACAGTCCATAGTTGAAAATAATTAAGATTTAAACTGAATGCAGCACAAATGTCAGCTGTGATCGGGACGTCTAAAATCCTTCTCTTATAAATTTGATTTCGTTGATGTTGCTTACGCTGAGTGCTTTCCAAATTGTTACTTCTAATTATTACGAATTTCTCATCCACGTAGCGTATCGAAATTTCGGTGGAATTATGGCTTTAGATCTTTGCATAACAGCTTCAGTAATCAGTACTGAAACCGGCGACCCCATAGGTGTCTTTTTCTCTGTTCATATATTGGATCAATAAATTCAAAACGTTATTAGACATAAATCCATGCACTCCATACAACTTTGTCATTGTCCTTTTGAGTATTAAAAGTGGTATTCATCACTGCTGAGTAATTGCTGCATGGTTTCTTTTACCAGTTTTAGTCCAGTTGAAGTTCACAATGCTGTGCCATTAAAAGATACCATAATTTCCCAATCGTCTATTTCAATATTTTTGGCTTTCTCCAGAAACTGATTTGTAAATTTGTTGGGATAACTACAGGATTCTAGTAAATATTTTAGCTTTTTCGATAAGTTACTTGGAAAAATTGTGTGTTGGGGTTCTTGGGAGTGAGACGATTGGTTGTTGTATATCTCCGGTATAGGCGATGCGTCATTTTGATTGCACGTGTGCGTTATTGGGTCGATAAACAACGATTCAGTGATTAAACTACCTAATCACTGAATTTTTGTTTGATATTTGAAATAAACTTATTTTACATGGAATTACATTCTACTGCAGTGTCCAAGTTCTAGACTTACGTTAATTGATGTTCCTTCAATTTCCTAGTCTTTTAAGGGACTTCAGTTCTTAATAATTGAGTTTAGTATGGTGCTCTTTTGTTTGACCATACGAATTTCACAAACACTTCACTTGATCATTGTGCCTCATATTTCCATTATCTGTATATTTTGCATGCATTTAATGCATTGTTAACATTAACTGCTTAACATTACATACTTTAATTCAGTAGCATTTAATTCCGTCCACTATATCACTGTTTCTGATAAAACTACAATGTTAATATATCATAATGTCTATGGCTTTATAATTATAGGACATGAGACAGCGTTTGGCGCGGAAATTGTGTAATAATGAAGAAGAATTGCTAAGTACACAGATAAAGCGTAGAAACTAACAAAGTCGTGATGTCAAAAGTAAAATAAGATATAATTGCCTCTATGACATATGAATACTGCGTTTGTGAGTTTATGCTCTCTTAGAAGCTACATTTGTCTACGTGGCTTAAACACACAGACAAAGACTTCGTAAACACATCGAGTGTATTAGTTCGGCCAATCCAATTCTACTTTAAAACGCCCTGAGGTACATAGTGGTTGAGTATGCCATTTAGATGACAAGACACTATCTAATAATATGATTATAGGGTTTCTCAGTCAGTAAGTGAACAAGCACATGGAAGAAAGTTGATAAAATAAAGGGAAAACTACAGATGGTAAAGTCGGTGATAATCTGACTGCCGAATCTAATCTTAGGTGGTCAAGAAATGTCTGCACAAACTAAAATTTAGTTGGTACGATCTGACAAGCATTTTTAATAGACAGTGAAATTTATGTGGTATAGAAGTAGAGAACTTTAATAAATTATGGTCAGTTATGAAGATAATTCTTTGCACATCACTATATTTCAAGGTTAACAAGACGAGTGTTCAGTATTATTATTCAAATAATAACAACAATGCAGAGGTAACAACGACAATACGCATATCTTTCAAATACGATATAAGTGATATCATTTCTCACCGTTTGTATGCTACTGTGATTTCCACGACCTTCTACAATTTCCTGTAGGTATTTTACAGTAATTCTATTCCCACATTCTCCCAAAAGCAAGAATTTACAGTCAAGTCTCCGAGCACAATCAACCAGCAATGAAAGACGTGAGTAATCTTCGTACCGTTGTTTGCTGCTGAGCATTGATGAAGTCATTTTACTCTGAAATAAGTCATTCCTGTAGTTCTTTAAAATATGTTTGTTTTTGTTAAAAGCAAAATTACTTCGTCTGAAGGCATAATATGGTATTCGAAACCTGTGCCTTTCATTACATCGACAATCAAATCTAAATCGGATTGACATTCCTGGTACTCTGATAAGTAAAATGAAAATAAATTAGTGCTTAACTAATCTTACCAGTGAGATGAAATACTTTTGGTGTAAACCTAGTTTTCTTGGCGGCATTAAAGCTCTAAAGAATTAATTGAACAACTATAATTTTAGACCGATATACCTCTAAAATAAGTTTCAATAAGGCTGCTGAATTCTGACCACCAGAAAATGCTACAGCCACACTGCTTCCTCCAGAATTCAATCCGTACTTTCCGAATGCTGAATTTATTTTATGAAGACAACTGCTGATGAAGCATGACCTGAAGAAGTGTTTAAAAAGGAAAAAACATCTCGACTTTACCTGCATAGGGCGGGATCATCCTTTCTGATCAGCACAGCAGGTGGGCCTTGACATTTGACACACTGCGATATCCTGAATATTTAAAAACATGAATGTGCTAAGCCACAAGGTCACAAACCTTTCTTCTTTCTTACTTTTCGGCGTTAACAAACACGAACAATCCTCTTCCTGAGTGCACATTGTAAAGAGTTTATTCCATAAACGGGAAGAATTTCACTCTATAGAACGACATCAATGGTTGACAAAAATATCTGCAAAACGAAAAAAATATCATTCTTACGAATGAATTACAAGCACAAATACATACTGATTAATTCTTCAAAAGGAATAAAGCTTCTGAAGTATTTCATATAGTTGTGATATGCAGGAAAGCTGACTGTAAGTGATACTTGCTGCAATGGAGAAAGACTTTTCTCGAGTGGTTTTAGCACAAGATCAAAACTTTGAAAATTGGTTGACTGAAGCACGAATTGAGATAAAAACTAATATGTACACGCATGAAGTATTTACATAAACAATGTTTTAGAAGTGTGAATCTTTGTATATATCCATTTTAATCTCCTTAACCTTCACTGATTCAGTTTGGACCAAGGGATAGTGCAGTAAACCCTCAGTTTATTTATTTACTTATTTCAACACGCTTCATGCATCATGGAAATCCACAGATACGTTATGAAAACTAACATAACAAACATATGAAGACAAAAAGTAGTTAGAGAATAACTGGAAACATACGAATTCTCACGAAATGTATTCACAAAACACCTGTTATTACTTTTGATTCTGCGCCGCATCTAGCAACTTATAAAGTCACTTAGTAGTATGACCAATTTGAAAGTACCAAGGGAGTTGTACTGCACCAATAAATATTAACTCAACACAACTACGCTCCATTTCATATCATCATGTCATGGGCTGTCTACCTCTAACTAACCCAAAGGCGGTAAGAAGGTGTTAAGTCCAAAGTGGTATTACCTAGTTCTCAGCAAGACCCTATATGTGCAAAATAAATATTACGGCTTATTCTAAATGACATTTTGAGCTGTAACAAAAGCAGTGGTAAAAGTCACCAACTGTGGTGCTTCTGCAGGAAAAAGAAAGAACAAATATAGCATATTCAACAAGGGATTTCTGGAACGACATTTATAACTCCGCCTACTAACTGAAGCTGGTGCTTACAAACGATTTCCCACTTGTCCGACCAAGCGCTATTGTACATCAAAAGATACTTTTTTAACAAGGCTACCATAAACGAACTGTTTTACAGTGATGACGAAGCTTTCAAATCTTCATTTAGGAGAAGCTATTTCACAATGGTAGGATAAAATTCCATACAACGAAGCGTTGCGAATGCAAGCTTTGATAGTCAGATTGACATCGCAACAGCTCAAGGTGATCCACTTTGGAATAAGTCACTCTGGCTTTTGATGTGCTACTGAAAAACCACTTATTACACTTCAGTAGACACTCATACACTCGCCCAAGCACAAACTTTTCAATTTCTTTAGATGGTTTATTTGCAGGGGTGAATTCAAAAACCACTTTTTGTCAACAGCACAAAACTACTTAGCAATTTAAGGGTATGAATTGAATGCGTTCTTAGTACCAAGGGCCTTAGCAATAATTTGACGGTAATATGTGAAACGGTGTTATATAAAGTGATAGTGTTATCAATAAACTGAAAACTAGCTTTCTTTGCACTCTGAAAAGTATGATAACGGTTAACATTTTGGACGTGATTGGCAACAGAACGGTGCCATGATGGCAGGCCCATTTTGGAATAGCGAAACATTTTCAGTCTTCTAAAGCTCCGGTAATTCCTTCAGTTTCAACTACTAGAGTCTCACTTTCACCTTTGAAGGTAGTGAGACATTTTGGTTTGGGGTCTTATTGCCCCTAAGTTTCTCAAATTTTTGAAATGATGAGGAAACATGTTTAGAAAGCAAACAAGTACTCCAGAAGAAAGTTTTTGTGGTTTATGTTATTAGTGGCTGATCGCGATTTTATCTATTCAAAGACCGAAACCAATCAATAACTGTTACCATGACAATATGGCCGGACTTGCATATAGCTGGAACTAGCTGGAACGCATGTTTTATCATGTTGGAAAGGCCATTTGAATAGCGGTCAGACTAAAAGCAGTTACCATAATAGTGTAAGTCACTCACACTATGAAGGGGGACTGAGAACGAAGTCGTATTGCTGTAGAGATGCAGCAGCAGTGGGGCGTTTTCCTCAAGTGACCAGTAAGCTATGCTGACTCTCTGCTCTGGGAAGTGAAGATTAGAAAGGGTCGAGCCATAAAATTGTACATCGCAACCTACCTTGAGGCGGTAAGATCTTAATACGGGAACGAGTGCAAAAACTACTTCCAGCAGGCTATGCGACCAATATCAAGGAACATTATACAATTCTCCAGTCTAGAGCTTCTAAGTAAATCTAAAATGACGGTAGGTATCAAAATATTAGTGGACAGTCTGACTATTGACAATGATACAATCGAAGAAAATCAAGAAAAAGCAGAAGCAATGGCAAACTACTTCTCCCAATTCTTCACTCAGGAGTCATCACTCCCTATAGGATCAGCTCTGGCTGCATCAGAGGAATACGGGATAGATTCCGTTGACATCGACCAAGGCATCGTGCTCAACTGCCTAATGAGACTAGATGCATGGAAATCAATGGGTCCTGATAATCTTCATCCAAGGCTTCTCAAGGAGCTATCAGCTCACATAGCCGGCCCTTTGACCACGATCTTCAAGCTATCTCTCCTAAATGGAGTGTTACCGCGTGACTGGAAAGACGCCATAGTAACCCCGATCCACAAAGGAGGATCAAGACAAAGCCCTTCAAATTACAGGCCTATCAGTCTCACCAGCACTTTAATCAAGACACTGGAAAGAATCATCAAGAAAAGCATCATGGCATATCTGGAAAACAGCAGCTTGTTATCCAGAGCACAGCATGGCTTCCGAAGAAACCTCTGATGCCTGTCAAATCTCCTCACTGCAAGAGAAAGCTGGGTCAAATCAAGGGACAACAGAAGACCCGTTGACGTCGTCTTCATAGAATTCAGCAAAGCCTTCGATAAAGTACCCCACAAAAGACTACTCATGAAGTTGGAAAGTCTTGGTATCAAAGGCAGATTGCTAAACTGGCTCAGGGAATTCCTCATAGATAGGAGGCAGAGGGTTAGGATCAACTCGAAACTCTCCTTTGGACAGCAGTACGTAGCGGAGTGCCACGAGGCACGGTACTCGGACCTCTCCTATTTATTTTGTATATCAGTGAGTTATCTCTGCTCACCGACTCCCCTATGGTCCTATACGCAGATGACTTAAAAATTTGGAGAGCTGAAGGGCAACAGTGATACGTCCACGTTGAAAGAGGATCTCAACAAATTGTCAGAGTGGTCCATAGAATGGATGCTCCCGATCAATGTGGCAAAATGTGCAACCATGCGCATTGAACAAGCAAGCACGAGCTCCTACGAACTAGAGGGAATAACACTTCCATCAATTCAGACTCACTTGGACTTAGGTGTCATAGTTAGACACGACTTAAAAACTACAGCACACTGTCGCGCGGTGGCTGCACGTAGTTTCAGGTCCTTAGAGGCAATTCGCAGAGCCTTTACTAGAATCACCAGAGATATGTTCACCTCGTTATATACATCTCTGGTGAGGTCAAGACTGGAAAACTGCATCCAGGCCACCAGTCCTTGTCCAAAAGGGGACTCACAAATTCTAGAAAGGGTCCAAAGGAAGGCAACACGTATGGTTCACGGTATTACTCACTTATCATACGAGGAAAGACTAGACATTACCTGTAGTCAGAGAGGAAATTTAATCACAATGTTTAAAATTTTAAATAATGACTACGGACCTGATCTAATCTCTCTTTTCCTTCCCACCAGGTCGGAACACCTTAGAGGACATAGCAGGAGAGTTCAAAAGCCAAGAAGAAATCATATTGCTGTTGAGTACTGGTTCTCACACCGGGTCATAAACTCTTGGAACCGACTCCCAGAAGAAGTGATGTCTGCAACCTCAAATGATTTATTCAAGAAGGGTTTGGACAATCACAGAAATTTACTAGAAAAGGATTAACATAGGCTCCAAGCCTTCTATCCTCAACCAATATATCTGAATCTGAAATCAGACTGGCAGAAGTGGCCACACTGGACCTAACTAGGTCTCATGCTGATGCCACAGGGTGCATGTGAAACGTACTTTTCAAGCTGGCAGATAGATGACTTACTGGAAGAACCTCACTGTTACTTTGCACAATGGCTTCCGAAATACATTAGACGTCGACTAACTAGACTGCTAAAATCCTGACTAAACTTCTCCGTAGTATGAATGACATTAGAGTGCAGAGGTTTTATGTACATCGTCTTAGAATATTCGTTTTAGATAAACCCCTGGAGTCTTAGACAACAGGCACTCGAACATTTTCGCTTCTAAAATAACACTTATAAATGGTAATTAATCTGCTTTCAATTCAACAGTGTACTGAAAACAGAAGCTACCACCCATTGCACTTGGTTGAGTCACAAAAAGCAGACGCACACCAAGATATTGAACCCCATTACTTTGCACTGATTATTTTTACCTGGGTTTGAAGATAATCTATTTCAGGATTATATCAGAACTCTTAGCACGTCCTTACGTATCTATATACATTGTGAAAACAACTCAGTCAAACTATTTCGAATTGTTATCAATTCGATAAGATTGCAAATTTAAACCCTCGCAGCCATAACGGTCGAGTTTACCACTGACCTTTAACGACTAGTCAAAATTACAGATCAATTAGGGCAAATCTGCTAAAAACTGTTGAGACCATTTTATCCTACTGATTATATTCTTTGATTCAACCGAAAAAGCCTATGGTATATGGAGACTCAGACTTACTACGAAAATTTGAGTTTACCCTTAGAAAGGGACTGTTTGAATAACACGTTTTACTGTGGAGACCTATTTATATCACGCGCCTTCAAAACCACAAGGTTACAGTGGCGGTATGATGTCCCATCACAATTCTCGGCTGAAATTATCCCGCATGCTCAAGGTCATTAATGGAGTGAGACGCTGAAAGGTCATTTCCGTCCATGTTAGTCGGTTATGTTGGATTGCAGTTCCGTAGCCGTTCGTTTACACATTGGTTTTACGTTCTGTTGGCATTTATAGGTGATAACCATGTACTGATAGCATTCTTTTGTAAAATAGTACTGTTCTTCACACGAAAATAGCCACATTTTGACGTAGTCTTCATTAAATGACACTATGTCGAAAGCTGCAGCTTCTACAAGAAATAAACTATTTGTGTAGATGACATTACCCCCCAACTACCCCATCTTCTTCATTGTAAAGATGTTTTCACGCATTCAGTATGAAACACTAATCATTACAACCAATATGCTAAGTGTAGCGCAGCCAGATTAAATGACGCTGACACCAACATAACTAGCCAGGAAATGAGAATTCCTACCAATCCAGAAAACATATAACAAAATTTTATTAAAAATTATTGACAAAAAACATTTGCCGAGCGAAATTTCAACCAACATGCCGGATAAGTCCAGCCCAATTCTCTCGTCAGAGATACCAATATTCGAGGACTCACCCTAATAGCGGCTATTTAATATACAATCTTTCAAAGTAAGGTTTTACATGATCGTAAAGTTCAAACTATGCAATCCATCTCCATGGGAGAGCTTCCTGATCGACCTCGGGGTCGATTCGGATAGGCTTGAAATAAAAATGACCCTCACAGTCGTTGTGTGGCTACCTATCCTGTCATACCTGAGCTTTTGCCACACTACCTGCTGACTTAACAGTTTAGCCCGTTAAACCTGATGACTTGAATGCTTGCAACACTGCCCCAATTAAGGAAGGGAGAATATAAACCTAACAGCCGTTCAAATGTGTATTTCTTAACAGTTGGGTGCGGAGAGTATGGAGATGCAGGATCCCACCACAATTCCTTGAAAACCCAGTTGTCCTCAATCTGATCCATTCGGCACAGATAAAAAAAATTAGCCCCTTAAAACGTAATGGCCAGGGTTGATTTGGCGAACTTCTTTGATCCAGTACAGACACAACATTCCTGTCATTATCTTATTTTCTGCCACCTACACTCACTCAAGGGTGACTAGCTGGTACTTTACATGGCCCCTTACCCTTTGAAGTAGAAATACAACGTAGTGGTCAGTAATTCCATAAAAGTATTTTGGCGTACCCTTAGCTATATATCAGCAGTGGGTGCTGGACCTCATTGTTGAGGTCAGCCATAAAAGCTGGAGATGAGTAGAAAAGTGTAACGTCATTCGATAGGCTATAGTGCTAATTCCTGTTGTTCGTGTACGATGTATAGATAGCTCCGTATGCAATCAACTGTGACTAGGGTGAACGATAGTATGCGTATACTGTTGTGCCGTCGTCCAATCCTACAAGCAAATGACGAGATAACAAGCTATTAAATTGGTACTTTCATCATTACTTCATGTCATCTTTCGCTACGAATAGTTAATAAACAGATTTTAATCTCTTTAAGTAAATATAGACCCATATATATTGATAGTGCTTACAGTTTGCAGATTATTCGGAATTGTAAACATTTGGAATGTATTCATCTTCTAGATTTGTTGTCAATGAGGCTCATTCTTGATTTGCATAGATCAGCGGACTTTGATGATACTAAGTATTTTCGTAGAAAACTCCACTGGTTTGAGAAAGACATTTCAGACGTAATTGATTCGACCACCGAATTTGAAATAGTAATTGATGTCCCCGCAAGTGACAGATTTCAAATCAGTGAAGTAGGCAGAATATATAAACACGCAAATCATGTAACACTAGGTCCACCTATGTGGAAGCGTGAACAGTTCTAGTTCATCCAGTTTATATGAGAAGTTTGAGAATCCCTTTAATCATATTAGTCCCTAACGTTTAAATCCTCTTAATACATCCTCACATACTTGATATTTGTGATCGGTACCCCATTCTTATACTTCATATGAATTCTAATATACGGCGGACACCATTAACGCAGTATGTAAATATCGAATTCGACAGAGTTTTTCACAAGTGCTCCTTTCAAGTTAGCGTAAGTTTTCAGGTCACGCTTATAGACATGCTGAAGTCATATACTCGGATACCTCATTAATATTCCCTGTCTTTACTAACAATATTCAGAGCTACAATTCTGTCTATATCAGTTTTTAATTATGAGTAGCATCTCAATAGAATAAAGTAGCAAGAGGACTGTGCCTTGATACGCGCCACCCGTCAAAGGTTGCCAGGATAGCAAGACGCAGTTAGCTCCTATTCTCTCTCCTGTCTCTATTCTAGAACCGCATCCAGTCTCATTCCATTGTGGGTAAACGAAGTTCGAAATTGGGTGAGTGCCATGATATGATTGTGAGCAATAAATTGTGTTAGAAACGCCATCAGTAAATATTACTCTATAACATCGCGAGATTTCAACAAAATAAATTTTGCCCACAATGAGATTATATTCTACCACCGTGAACAAGTTTTATTCTTATATCACTGCTTCCAATCTCTAATTATTTTATCGATTCTGAAACCGCCTATTTTTAGCAAAATACCCGAGTGGTAGAAAATCTAAATAGCCCAGGAAAAATTCCCCGAACATAGCATTCACCGGACCAATATTATCAGCTGCATTCTCCCGACTTTCATATGTCTAGAGAAGGCTGATTTAGCAAGAAAGACTAATCCGAACATCAAGGCGTTCTCTCGGTTAACATTCACTACTCTCCGCATGCTATTTGAGAGTTTCACCCATAAACCCCTTCAGTGGTTTGGTGATAATACTAGTTAAACTGACCAAACAGTAGTACTTGAACTGATTCCTACGTCCATTATTGAAACATTTCCTCAGTGACATTTTGACATATCCCCAACAATACTTAGGCTACACTGACGGTCAGTACTGATAGTATTCATAGATATGGTCTATCAAGGCCATTAAAATTGCGAAGTTTAGACTCATAAAGAAATTTTACTTTCCTCCATAATTTATACAGCTGCCATTCCTGAACCATCCTACACAGAACGCCTGGCTGAACTACCTTTACAAAGGCTCACTCTAGGCAAAACTGTCATTAGTCCTCGTCAAGTAGAACCGAAGGAAAAATATTCCTCTTAGTCCTTTTACGGATGTACAACAACAACCCCTTGGAGCAGTCCCATTGTAACAACAGAAGACAAGGGCCAGGCAACAGATCGTTTATTAAGGAAAATCAACACATATTTATAGATTTTAATGTACATTATTGTAGATTATTGTTTGTGGAAAATACAGTCTTTTGATTGGTTGTTTCTCACAGAAGGTTAACCTTGCATCTCTTTGTGGCTGTGTCAGATCATCCATATGCTAACTGTATCCGCCTACGCAAAGCCTTTGTTCTCATTTTCTCACCACCAATATTGGGGAAATAAACGTTGATGTCAATTACTGTCTACCAACTTTGGCTAGCAGCCAGCTCTCACCACACCATGACTTCCTAAATAGCAGTTATTTATATGGTTATCTGGACTGGTAAGTTGGAGCTATACGCGGGTTAATGGCTTCATAATATTTTAGTAGGAAATACTACGGATCTGTTGCGGCCGAAAGGTTCCATAATATTTCTCTTCCCAAAGGAATGTCACAGTCTCCCAGTTCGTTCACGGAAGTTACTTTTAAGCTTATCAGGAATCCCCAAATTGAAAGAATTTAGGTCTAATTATTCTGATTGAGTTGATTGCATGTATTGTCTATGAACAATTCAGAATTGATACGATGGCTCCCGGTGGAAGTACTTAACAGCTGTGATACTCACGCAGCAAACGCTGCGAAGAGTCCGGGATTGAACCCAAATTGAATAATGAGCATTAATCAAAAATGACATTAACCTACAGTTGATATTGATTGGAATAGAACGAACAAATGGAGTATTTACTCCATCTGAATCATGTGTTACAACAATGTTCAGCAGCAATCAGCCTTAGAGGAACTCAGATTTTCACATCTTGAAAGAGCTGTGCATGTTCCTTAAGTTATGCAGAAGTCTTCCACCTGGCCACATGCAACGGTCTTTCAAGTAACAGAAGACCACACTGATGTCTGTTGACTACAAAGTTATTCGAACCCTAGTAGATGTGTTAGCTTTATCTCTTGTTATAACAGACAGTACTCAATTACAGCGTTGTTGCTTTTGACATCACAGTGGCTTGCTGCTAATCAGAAAGCCACCATCAAATGTCCTTTCATCTTCTAATGAGGCAGTATCCCTAAAAGAGTAATCAAAAATTATGTCCAAATTAGACCCTGGACCAATGGAACTACTGGTAGTTTGTCTAGATTCTCCGCCACCGAGTTTTTCCAGGCAGTCCCTGTATTTTAGGTTGTCGAAACCCTGGAGGGCTGACCTCCATGGCTACGTCATCATCAGATGTGCAGTCCACATCAACTTTCGGCCACATATCATCCCCAAGAAATTTCATGATTTTGGATAGCACAGCATATGCCTCCGTGGTCAGCGTACATTTATGTTAGTCACAATGCCTTATACCTTCAACGCGGCGGTTCCACATAAATGTTATCAGCCTTAATTCTGTGCCATATATTGCAGTCAACACAATGCAAAGCCTCTACAAAAAATAAACAATTTGGCTCTCATAATTATGGGGTGATCCCATTATTACGAGTGTACGGTGAAGAAAAAGTACCTGTGAGTGCCAAGAGAATTATTAAATTGTACTAGTTTTTATCCAATTAATATCTAATCAAATTACTTTGATAAGGTATGCAGCGATACAGATAACGAAACAAAATTGTATCATGAATTCTAAAATACTTCTCTAGTGTAACTGACGTGCAGATGAATTGAAGCAATGCTGTAAAAATGTTAAATGTAATGTATCTTCATTTTACTGAATGGCTCAGAAGCATTCTTCAGACTGTTTGTTATAATACATCACGTGATTTATATGTTGTTATGATTAGCAGCGTTGGTTCAAAACTAAAAGTAATGTGTTTGTAAGTCTAGCGAAGTCTGTCGCGAAATAGTATAAGAACCGACTGGTGATATTAAAATCGTTAGTTTTTAGGATCACTTCTTAAAATACTTGCGGGTTTGAGAATTGAGGCTCTTTGTATTTACTTCTCGCTTTTGACACAATAACTGCCTATGTTAACTTAGGAGTATTTATTACTGTCTCATTATTTTTTTATTACATTCAAGAGATCAACACTTTACGCTTTCCTGTTAGATTCTGAAACACTGACTATATATCTCTTCTAAATATAATTTATTTCTATTATTTGTTGGACTAATATTAATTATTATTGTCGCATAAACCGAATTTTCGATGAAATTGGTTCCATCGCGAACACGTTTGAATTTTGTCAATACAGCATATTTCTTCCCAAGCTTACAACAATTCTAAACTTATTCTAACCTATTCTTCGATAATGCCTTTTTATGATAAAGGAAGATTTTATCCCAATATGTTCTGAAATAACACTGGTCGTGCTTAAAAAGAGAGATGGGTGCTGAATTAAGTCTTTTCGTTCTGAAGTAACGCTAGTCCGCGCTTAATATGTCCTGTGAGGGCTGAAACAACGGTGACAACCGAACCCAGTAGGTTCTGATCTACTCCTGAGAATGCCTAGAAAAAGAACACGGTGCTGAGTTAGTGCCAGTCATGCTGAAAACCAGCAATGAGTTCTAGTCTGTCCCATTAAAGAATCCATTTCAGAACAGATTCAGAATTTACTCACTATAGAATGTTAGAATTATTTCAGAATTAGTGAGATTTAATTCATCATTATAGTAAGCTTGGGTTGGTTTATTGACCAACATACTACAATAGGTTTCATTGCCTGCCGAAATGAATGGGAAAATTTACATCTAAGTATTCTCCCGTGTTTATGAAGTTTAAGTTACTAAATCAGTTTTGGAAAGGTTGGCACTGTTTTTTGAAGGGTACATATGTGGTAAAATGCTTCAAATGCTGCGTAAATTAATTAGATTTTTGGGAGGCTTAAAGAGCACGATCGGCTTAGCTTCCGTAATGCATAATGATGTCTCACAGTTTGTTGCACTTTCGTTCAGTTTATTTTGGCCCTCGCCTGTAGCTTTATGTAAAGACGAACATTTACGGACAGTATAAGTATTTGAGAATCTTTATTTTTAATTCTCACTAATTACTACTAATTGTTTTCATTAGATATTATTTTTTCTGAGCTTAGGCCTAAAATAGAGGAGACATTATATGTAAGGCCATCTCTACCTGATAATCGAATTAGTGGGGTATGTGGGTGACTAAGTATTAGTTATGCTTATTATTGCCTTAAAGCTTTTATTTAGGTACTAACTGCATGACAGCTGACAGTAATACACTCAGGACTGAACCTCTTAAAGAGACGAAGGCTAAAGGTTGCTTACTCAAAAGGGCCTCTGATGTAAGCACATCATTTGGGTTAATGACACTTGCAAGAACTAATTTATGTGATTCAAATCCCACAAAAAATCAAGATAAAATAAAAAAAAAACCCATAAAATTTATGAATCTAAAGGAATTCCTTTATACTCATATTAGGTTGTAGACAACTTAATAAATAAGTGGTTTGTGAACTGTTATTATCAATAGCTTAGAGTTTAACTTCATATATTTAAGACGAAGCTTTCAGATAAGTCCCTGTGCCAAATTACAGCAGCTCAGAACTATTCATCCTTTAATGTCTGTCAAATTGTAAATGCCTACAACTGCTCATTTATAGTCCTTTTTATTCTTTCTCTTTTTTGTTTCACTCCTAATCATGTTTCCTGTGCTGATTTTACATAAAGCTGTAAATCATATTGACTTTATCACAATATCTTAAGTTTATCTGATCTAGTTTGTATCATTCAGAGAAATTCAACTGCTCACATTAATTTCCAGTTAATTGCACACTCTGAGCTACTTTAGATTATTGTCTGCGTTTTCTGTACCCATTCATACTCGTGCTATAATAATTACTGGTGTCGTGAGCTAATGACTGGCATGCGTTCAAGAGGGGGGGGGCGTTCGCACCCATGGGACACTACAGTTTAACTTTTCCAAGATGAGTCCATAGTGTGTAGGCGCAATTATGTATGGTGTATACCAGTTACGCAGGAATATTCACCGAGATTTAGTATTTAAGTACTGTTTGGATAACAGGGTCATAGGAAGGGAGATAATTTCAGGACTAAGTGTCTATCAACAATGGGTTTTAGGATCATGTAACACTACCCTACGAAAAGGATATATCCAGACGATCTCTTATCGTAGTGCCATTGTATTATTAACCGTTATCGGACGCTTGGTCCTACCTGGCACTTCCTTATGGACCACATTTTGTTGTCCTTGTTCTAGAAATGGTGTTTAATTAACCCAAAGGAACTATTTTTGTAATTTGTTTTTTTTTACAGATACCTGCACCAGTACGCTTGCTACCTCTACCAAAATATTATTCATAGCTAAAAGTGTATATTCATGGGATTGATGACATTTTGAGTGACTGGACACTATTGTATGAATTTGTTTGTTCGTCAGGAATAAGCTACATTTCACATTCGAGTCACCGGCCAGAGCAAAAAAAATTCATGTTGTATTATAAGTGCTGAGTGACATAAGTATTTCTTACTCATTATTACACATTACTACTATCTTAAAATAAATAAGGACCTGTAATTTTATTCCTGTGTTCGTGAATATGAATTAAGACACTCTGTGGAAGACAAGCACATGGCTTTCTTTCCTAGGGCCTCTGAGGCACCCAAATAATTTTTTACCAGGTTACAATCTCTATCATTTCAACAGGTATTGCTGAATTATTATGCACGTACTTTTAAAACACCACTCAAGTCTTTGAGCACCTGGCGTGACGTATTGTTTAACCTTAGACATTTATGTCATACTTTCAAAAAACGCTTTTTCACGAGAGTGTGATAGCGTCGAAAGTGAGACGAAACTGGAGAAAATTTAAAATGAGTTCTTGATTTTAAATACTCTACTTATCTAGAAAATGCTACAAAAAAGCCAAATGATCGGCAATAAAAAGTAGTGAAACATTAATAAAACTCTGGCATATTTCCTCTACCAATTATTCGAGAGAAATTTATAGATCACTAATCTGAAACCTGGTATTTAGTCTTGATCTCATTCTCTATTTTAACAATGCCCGCAAATCCTGTTTCTAAATGCCTTGTTCTTTGATGTAAGTGAAAACTTACGGCTTCAAACCTGATATATTTTTCGTATGAGTAGTCATGCCTTATAACCTTACATTTCTAGTATTATATCGATATATGTACATGAAATTCATCATATTTTAGACTGGTATGACTTTTTCCATCAAAATCCGCTTCGTAACAGACATTTCAAATATAAACTACATCTACTCAACATATTTTAGTTGTTATGCTTTAGTGTAGGCCCACTGTTACTTTTCCACTAGGTGATGAGAATGAATAGCATTTTGCCGAAATATTCGTGAAGAAGAGTTCTATTTTGAACGAAATCTACGCAGATTTCATATGAGTTCTGAAACAACCAAAAGAGATGTAAGGGTGTAAAAAGACTCAAAAATTTTTTTAGGGGGCAACATAAACATTGTGGAGTAGTGCCAATTTGACTATCTTCAGAATGACTTTAAGCTAAAAATTGGAGACGAAAGCTGAATATAAATCGGTATATAAAGTGTTTGCCTTTCACCATAAGTATGCTAAGCCTTAGCAGTTTTAACGATTGCATATTTCTCCTTTTTAGGATGTTTTAAATGAGCCAACAAAGTGGGCACCACAGAAGCAAAAGTCAAACTAAAAAGAATTACGATTCCAAATTGCAGAAGGACAATCATAAAAGCCATACTAAGTTAAAAGTTTTAAATAATTCTTCTCGAAAAGTTTCTTCGAAGGAAGAAATATACAGCAAAAGTGATAAAGACGACAAACAGTATGCTATACATTATGGTATTCGTCAGCCTACTGAGAACACTGAAGTAGTATCACGAAAGTCAAAGGAGCGGCACTCAGGACAAGTTAATAAAAACCCGAAATTGTTAACTAATATAAAACACACAAATTTGAATCCATCGAAAAGGAATTCAACTGTATCTACCCATGATTCAAGTCAGAATGCTCACTCTGCAATTAGTAAACGATCAAAAGCAGTTGAGAGAGTAAAACACTCGGATAGAAATGGTCTGCAGTCTGATAATGAAAGAAATAATTTACTTTCATCGGTTGAATTCTATCATGAAAAACAAGAAGGTTCTGTTGATTATCAAGACAATAAAATCAAGCAGGAAAATGATGACACTTTTTCAGATCAGTCTGTTGGCGAAGAAATTCATTCTACTAGAGAATCAGACCATTATTCCAGTGATTTTGATAATGAAGAGGACCCTTCAGTTTCATCTCAGGTGCCAAAAATTGAGACAAAAACTTCAAGTACTGAATATAAGTCCAACACTGATGCTGACAAAATATCATCAGAATTCGAACCTCTTATATCAGGGATTTGTGAATCAGTTTCAACAATGCAACGTAACGATTACGTTGTTCCTGCCCATCGACACACTGTTTGGAACGACGGCAAAAACAATAATGTTATAAACTTTGAACAGTCAAACAGATTATTAATGCATCAACATATAAGTTCACGTGTAAAACGAAGGGCTAAAGATCTATCAAAACTAATAGATCTGTCTTTAGATGAATTAATACATGTATTTGAGCTAAAACCCATGGATCAATATGAATTTCATATGCTTCATTCAAACGAACATAAAAATCGAAGTCATTGCCAAGTTCAAACAAACGATGACGCTTTAGACCGAGAAGTACAAACTGAACCAATTGATATTTGTTCTGGTGTGTGGACTCAGCAACCACCTGATGAAAATGGCGATGTCTTTGGCCGAGACAGTAGCAACAGTATGTATGGTGACAATAATATATATACATATATTGATTTGGTTGTATGCTCTGAGCTGGTTGGTTTCATTGCAAAGCCTCGGTTGTCCTTCTATACGGCATCTTCCCCATGAAGAATTCAAATTAGTATAAGTATTTCCTGAACACTTTTCTTAACCTAAGTATAGCTTACTTATTTAACTATCCATTATGATAATACATATAACATATCTTTCAAGTTTAAGTAATAAGACTAAGCTTGATGGAACACTGTGGAACACAATTTCGTTGGACAAATGCAGACACTTTTGGATATGCTTACGGTTTGAATTGGTAGATGTAAACTGAAACTTTTTCATTTGCCAAGAACGTTAAGCGGTGGTTAGTTTATAAGAATTAATAATGGGTACCAGGCATAGAAACCCTATAAACATACCAAGTACTGTTCACCTTCACAATCAGATAACTGATTCTTCTCGAATGATTCAAAAGAGAAATAGTACTGAAAACGAAATTGTTTAATAGGACAACCCAAAGCCTTTCTGACAGACTATGAATTTTCCCTAATTTTTTAAAAGTTTGTAAAGAAATCTAGACTCTGGAAAGAAAAAAAGCAAATAACTCATCCACTAAGGCTCATTTACAGTAAATTTCTAAAGAAAGTAATACTGTTTTGAAAATCACTTGAGTATTCACTGTCGATTTAATAATAGAATTTGTGCATTGTGATAGAGTATAATTACATCGTACAGTAGTTTTGTTCTATGCAGCACAGAATGATACAGCATTATTTGTTTTCTGGTAACGTATTGAGCAGAGTTTATTGTTCACAGCCATGGAAACATGCATGAAGATACCATTAACTAAATATAATGCACTGTTAGTGTATGCTATACGAAATAATATAATCTTGCATGAAGTTATACCTAACTAGTGCGCGAAACTAATATTTTTGGCAAAACACATTTTTTCCTAACTATACTGTTAAAATTTAGTTATCAGATGTGTTTTATTTTTATTTTTCTCTTAAAATATTTAGATAATTTCTCCACAAACGTATTTTATGATTCATGTTTCCTCAGTGATCGAAACAGTGAATCGAGTCAAATAATGCTAGATGAACTAGCTAGAGAGCTTTGTTTAGGAATTAATGCTTCTAATGGTACTAATATGCAGAGTACTGATTTATCAGTGCATACTCATAACTTAACTGCAAATTCTGAGTTGGAAATGACAAATAAATCTGATCACTTACCCAGTAGTTTTGCAGAATATGTTCATTTGATACTGGATATACTTGAAGAAGAAAACTCATATTCCCCGAAGAAAAGTGCAAAAAACGGTAAAGAATTGGAAATGAATGGGAGCTTTGTAGAAATTTCCTTTAGACCAACAGCGGATCACTCTTCAGAGGAATATAATGGTATTAATTCAGTTGGTGATTGTCAGAATGGAACTTACGATAAGGACACTTATCCGACGAATTTGAATGGATTCAGCAAGTACCATAATATATCCTCTTTTTGGGATCATTATGAATGTATCGCATGTGAATGTGCACCCCAAAACCAATCAGTTATCATGACTATTCATCGACCAATAGAAGTGAGTGCATACTGAAGTGTAATAGTATAGCTGGATAATAATTATCCTAAAAGTATTTTGTTTAAAAACTAAAGATATCACTGTTATGTTGTGTTTATATTTGATACAGAATATATTTTATAAATTTATGGACAAAGTAATCTCCAAAATGGTCTGAACAAATACATTTGGTGTCTTACAGGCTAATACACTTATAAATTAGAATTGGTCCATTGTGGACATGTTAATGAGGACTTTTGGGAAACTTAATCTCAGTATGCTCCCTGCTGGATGCCTGTGCGAGTGAATACGAAAAATTAACTGATATTTTAAATAAAGTTTCGCATCTTTGTAGTTGTTTCAGCATTCCTTTAGGACGTGGTTCTAGAAGAACCTTCAGTTCTGCATGAATGACCTCAGTATCACACAGGTCAAGGTCAGTTTGTAAAAATATTTTATTAAAAAATAAAGACATTGATTAGTGTGTTAGATTTAGCATCTTCAGCGCCTAAAAGATTTAAAAATCACTTTCCTTGTTACGTAGAATAGTGCTAAAAGAAGTTAGACTAACTTGAGACAAATACATACTCTTTGCTGTTTGCGGATCAATAGTTGAGATTTTACTGTTTGCAGTTTATGAAAATACAACAACGAATTAAGGTAAAAATTTGAGAAGTGTAGATAAATGATGACTTAAATGACTTGACACCGTTTGTATGCTTCTTAAAACTTTTATGTGGGAAATTATAGTACTGAAGTTGAAATTAAGTAGTGTGGTTATGAAATAGTGTTTTATCTAGCCAAAGTAATTTGTCAGCATTTTACCTTCATAAGTAATTGTCGCTTACATGACTACCAACAATTCAACATATATGTATTTGTTCACACAGCCCATATTTCGTAGAAGGAAATATTATAACTTCCACTTCGACTGAACATATCAGTGATATCTTTTTCAACAAACCATCACAAGATAAATTAATTAGCAGGCTTAGAGTATCTGCAGAAACCTTAGGTACAATGAACTCATGTAGCCTGCCCAACATAAAAAGCAACTTTATTAGTCTTACTTTTGATCGATGAATTCAATTTCAATGTGACAGACTTGAACACTTAGGGTTTGTTGACAAAATTCATATCAGTACTTCAGTTTTACAGGATCGAAGCACAGCAATATTGGTAATTTGAATTAGCGATGATGTGTATCATCCGAGTAATTATGAAAACCCCACAACTAAAAAAGAAGCTCTGTCTGGTAATAAAACCATCAATATCGACGACAGTGACCTCATGTGTGAGATGCAATCTTTTCTTGAAAACATTATCAAATAACTTTGTACTTGATAAAGTGCTTACTTTTTACTTGAATATTATTTATATCCAGCTGCATGAAGTATGGCTTGTAGTTGAATAACTAGCTAATGATTATTAAAACTATGTTATAAGCTGAAAGATGATGAAAAACGTGATTTCAGGGTAAAAGAATTGAACAAGATAAGAAATTTCTATCAGACATTATTATTTTTCGTGAACACATTTTTAGCATCGTTTAATGAACTAAGTTTTAATTTACCTTAGAGATAACTTGTTTGCTGTAAAAATGGATGGTTTATGTTTATTACTCTCCATAAGCTCAATCAAGGAAAAGAAGATTTGAAGAATCCTTTTAATTATCAAAGAAGGGCTGGTGAATTTATATGTATTTGGACAGCTATCGGTCTGAAACAATTACCCGATCGTCTGCTTTACTGTCCAGGCTTATCTGAAACGGGTTTAAAAGGCGCCAATTTAAATTGTGCAATGTTTAGTCCAGATACAGATGCAAGTTTGGTAAGTGAAGTAAAGACAAATAATTCCCTTATTTTGTCCATTTACCTCATAATATGGAATTCTTAAAAACTTATTGGCAAGGCATGTTTTTGGGTAAGAAAGTTGCGTTACTTAAAATTACATTTCCTCCAAACGTAAAAGATATTAATATTCATGTGTTTCTGGAGTGTTATTTTAAAACAAGTTTATTCCTATTTAAAGGTCATAAAAAAATACGAATTTCTAATTACGAGGTTTTACCGATGAAAAGTTCACTTCTAGTAACAGAACTAAGATGAATACGCTGAATGTCTGCTTCGTAGCTTCTAAAGGTCTAATTATGTTCTATCACGGTGTTCAAATCTCCACCCTAGACAAGAATAATTTTTATGTAGTAGATCTTGTGAAGCACTAAAAATCACTTTTCATATTCATTTGGAATAGTTAAGCATAACACCTCTTGGCACAAAAACAAAACTACAGTTTCTAGTTAATTTGTGCTTTTAAATAGGTTTATCACTTAGTTTATTCACTGGCCTAGGTTTGTTTCAGTGACTTGTCAATGGCGTAACTTTTCTGAAAGTAACTCCAATAAAAATGTTATCCAATGGTATTATCATTGCTGACACTCTGTCAGAATGATTAAAATTATGTGCTTCAAAAGCCAGTCACCTGAATCAATAGAAATTTGAACAAGAATATAATGATAGAATAAATAAATGTTGGAAAGTAGTAGTAAAGAAAAGGGTGGCGTTATCTACAAAAGAAGTTGATACTTACTTAGTAAATTCATTAGCTTATTTAATCATAAAAACTGTAAACTCTATGATAAATTTTCATTTAAATGTACTTGCGAAGGGCTAAAACACTTTTGCAAAGTGTGTAATCTGTATTAATATCACTTACCTGCATTTTAGAATTCTTCATCCAAATCATATTAAAACTTTGTCTTTGTTCTTTCATACAATGCATACTTCGGTGGTGCATAGGTCTCAGTACATCCCACTAGGTTTATTTAAAATTGAATTGAAATTAAATTCATTGGTTAGCTAACGAATCACTTATGAAATCATCAGTACTATGATTGCTGATAATCTGTTGTGGAGAGCCATGCAAAGCATTGTGGTCTGTTCAAATGGAATTCAATTCTGAAGGTTAAAAGAATTAATTAGAATCTGAGTTAAAAATTGAACACCTATACACAATGTGCCCCAGTGAGGAGATGATATTTTAATAACTATTTTTTTAAACGGAGATCACGATTTCCTAGTAAAAGTATTATTATATTCATTACTATTTTTAAATCATGGAAAATTCCCATTGTAACATTTAGAAAATCAAAACAAGTGATTCAGAGAAGAGACTCTTTTCAACGAATTTATCATCAAGCTGTACAATCGTATATATATGGTTTTTAAGAAGTTATATCCGGTGAGGGAATTGAATCATAGATGTGAATGCATAAAATAATAATGATAATATGAAATGCAATTAAAACTAAAATGTTTGTGATCATAATCGTAGTTAAATGTCAAGTGGCAAAGCAAATTAATGTCATATATAGAATAATTCATAGGATGGATAGAACTTGAAAAAGGTGTGCAATTATAAGATTAAAATAAAAACGTTACGTAATATTGTGTGAAATTAAATAGCATAGAATTTAATGTGTATTCAACTGGTTGATACTTTGCACAGTTGATTTTCTAGCAATGCTTTTATATTAACTGACAGTTTTGTCACCTTCCATGCTTAGATATCAATTCACAAATATCCAGTCGTTAGTCTAGCTTTCCTAAGAAAGTAAATATAGGAAACTCTTCACGAGTATTTGAAAAAAACTTATTATTCATCAATTGGATAATGAATTCGTTGGTTGAAATTTCCCTTGGTGATATTTGACTACTTTTAACCGTTGATCATTGTATTCGCTTTATGCTGCTTTTTCTTGCCTGGTAAGCCGGATAGTTTACAAACTTCTTTGACTTTTATGTCTTCATTAAGGTGGACGGAGATTCCATCTAATTTGAAACATAAAAATGCTTTTATCAAAATGAATTATGCATTCAAGTGTTCGTTTGCGGAGATTTGATTAGTTACAGTATTTCATCAGTTAGAGCACTAATGGAAAAAATGGGAGTAAGGGAAAGCTGTTTCGTCCTAGTTTGTGACTCTTCGTCAGCATGCACTCACTGTATTTCGAAATCACGACCTTCCGGTTACCAGTGGGGAACAGCAGGCCGGGCGTGAGGAGGAATAATCGCAAATGATATTGCGTAGTGGTTACGCTATATCGTGAACTAGCAGAAGTTGGACTTAATAAGCCATTGGGTTGGGCCCTGATGAGCTAATGGTCTACGAGCTCGCCTTGCAACCATAAGGTTCTTGGTTCGAACCTCGATGGGCGCGTGCTGATGGAGAGTCTCAAACTAGGATGAAACAACTGTCCAGTACTCCCGAGGTTTTCCAAAGGTTTTCGGATCGATGTTGGCTCACGATGGAATGCTGAATTATGTATTTTACCTTCGGTACATATCGACTTTTCTTCCCAACTACACTGATGGATTTTTAAATATTGGAATTTTCAACTTTTTCCTTGAAGCAACTACGAGGAGTCTTACAATTTTTCTTCAGATTTGATGTAGCGAAAGCTCCATTCTATACTCTCATTTGTTTTGACTTACCATATTACCATAAGGAACCAGCATTTCTAAAGAACTATTTTGGTTACTTACGCCTAAATTATTTGATTTGGAAGATTATTTTGTCAACTTGTCCACTGTAGGTTCATAGATAGTATCCAGCTTCATACGCCTTTTAATCTCTTCGTCTGAGTGTCATATATTCTGCTGTACACACAGAGTTCACAAATTTTACTCAAAATGTTGCCTACATTGGCATCTAAATGCTTGTGGATAAAAATCCATTGGCAGCATGATATATTATCTTGGTCTATCTACTTCATGTAAGTTCTAAGCCTACTGTTGATTTTCAATTCTAAAACATTTACAAATCATTTAAACATCCCACAAACTAGTAATATATATATATATATATATATATATATATATATAAGCATCTACTGGTTTAAACTGCACTTGGGTAGTGTTCAGACTAAGTTGAAATAGACAGCTATAATCAGTCAACCTATGTACAAGTAATATAATCAAGAAATCAAAAGTCGAGACCTATTTATTTATTATTTGTAAGTTCAGCCAGTTTCATAATTAATTCTTCTGGGTTTTTTTGATGAACTTAAATTTCTGTTATTAGATTAAGTATGAAAGATGAATAATTTATAGTCTATAGTAATTAGGAATTTTGCTTTTATGCAGAAGCTGACAATAGGTCGATATCTTTATCTACTTTAATTTTTTTTTTCATTTTCATTATATCTGAAGATTTAATAATCCATTGTAAATGCAATTCTAAATGTATTCAACAACGGAGTGTCTGTTTACACATTTATGTACCCATGATGCATATCCGTTGTAAAAGGGGGAATAATATAACGCAGGTGACAGATCACTGATACGCGAAGTAAGATCTGAATTTAGGACTCATTAGTCGAAGGCCAGATGACTGAATTAAAATGCCGTGGCTTGAAGTGCAGGCACATATGCACAAACAAGTAAAAGAAGCTCTAAACCGTATACTTATATCCTTCATATTTCCTCCTGTGTTACAGGGATTTCTTCAACACTGACAGTGTGTAAGACGTGCTGTTTCATTTCACTTGCTTGTTTCTCGCTTGACAATGACCAAGAGCAGTTATATTTATACTTTTTGTTAAAATAATCTAATTAGATAACTCTACTGGCAGTTGAATGTCTAGTGGCGGTTATAATCAAGCACAGAACACTATATCATTGTGTTGTTGAGTATAACTTACGATTTATACGATTTAGATGGTCAGCATAACCATGTGATATTTTGTTTCCATATTTTAACTGATAGATTTCCGTATTTCATTCTTGCCAGGTAGTCTATTTTAAGTTAGAAATATCATGATTAATATTTTCAGTCGAGACTGAGAATAACACTGAATGAGATATATGGAAATGTTTCCTTAAATCAGTATTGATGCATTTAACCGATTCACGGTCTATGTCTTTAAGCGGAGAAATACGGATGGCTTTTTACCCTTAACCTGGAAAGCACGAAAATCGTCTGCTTTGAATACACTTGTTGGATGCAGTAAATAGAAAATTTTAAATGTGTATATTTTGAGATTGAGGCACAAAGTATGATAGAAATTATTTAATATAAAATTTTATCTTTATGTATGTGAAGAACTAAAATTCATTTGACTTCGCAGAGTTACTCAGTTATACAGATAGCCAAACTATCCTGGAATCATGCAGAAACAGTAAAATAGCTGAACAACTTTCCACATATGAACACTGTTTGTGTTGGCGGTTCAGTGGTAGATTGCTCGCCAGCCCCTCATGTGGTTCAGGTGCGATCATAGGCCGACGCATTCCTAAACCTTACCTAGTTTGTTGGCTGGTATTAGGTTTGCAAAAGAGACAAAAGAGGGGCTAGCAATCCCACCTGGCGAAAGCGACACCACTGCTACTGAAGCTTTAAAGCTTGAAGCTGTATTTTCCACACATGACCACGGTTTCCTCTGTCTATTGGGCTCCAGAACTGTTTAACGAAACATTATATTGCCCCTTCTAGAATATGAAACTCAGGGTACACACTGGGCGTATTAACCTTTGAAACATTTGTCTTCACTATACAACTGGCATTCTCATGCAGATGTGATCGTTTTGGGGCTTTTTATGCAATTTAAACATGCTTATCGATACCACATTCACTAATTCACTGAAAGTAACATTTTGGCAGTAGTAACTCATTGTACCAAGAAGTTATTATTAGATGGCTAACAGTTCTTGTACAATATCTTTTAATAATTATGAACTGTAGGAGATATTCTGAAATCAATAACAGTTTACAGAAAAGGCATTCAATTTAGCAGAATGAACTCAGTCAACAGTACTAAATAATATTCACTG